CATTTTGGCAGCCTGCGGTTCATCCGAGTGCGTGCCGGTGGGTACAGCGACATGTTGGGTCCAATCGCTCTGTTGAACGACTTTCAACAGCGCCGCTGCGAAAGGTCCGCCTGATTCGACGCGCTGGAGTTCAATCTAGGAGGTCTTTGGGGTGTTGAAGTCACCTACCAGCAGGAGATGAGTGAAATGGTAGTTGGAGGAGTTTTGCTCAAGGGTTTGTATGAGGAATTGGTCATCTTCAGTGGGACTCGAAGGGTTACGGTAGACCACGCCGAGAAGGAGAAATTCGGACCCGCGCAGCGGGATTTCGACCCACAGTGCATCGCAGATGGGGGCAGGGGTGGTGTCAGAGAGGACAATCGGGATGGTAGGGCCGTGCTTCCTCCGAGGGTGAGCTTCCTCCGAGAGTGAGTAATAGGGAAGAAGTCAGAGATATATCGTTTTTAAGTACCAGGCTACAGTTATGGGCATCGAAAGTCTTTGTTAGACATTTCGCGGATAAACTAAGAAGTCAGTGGAAAGGATATCAACCATTTGGCGTGCAATTATTGCGGAATATTCTCAGTTGAATATCTTTCTCTACTGTTACTCTACTTCTTATTCAGAACTTTGTAAAGACCATCAACATTAGGAGCGGCACGACGGGTCATGTTATCGACAGAAGTAGAAAAGCTTGTTTCTACCGGCTATGCACACAAGTGGCCAAAGACAATTAGAGTATTACAAGTCACATCCGGTTTATAGGTCTATGGACCGCTTGAAATTTCGGACCGTGAATATTGAAACCGGTAGTAATCCTCTTCGAGAAAAGGAGTAAATGTTTGAGTAAATTCGCCAGACTGTTTGGCTGTCTACTAAATGAAGAAGAGACCTTCCCAAAAATGTTCGGGTCTACTAAATGGAGTTGCCAAGATCGTCTGTTTGGTCGAATTCGGTTGACCAAATAATTAATTATAAGAAAACCAATTCGGCCCCTTTGATTAAAATGGGTAAGGTTTCGGTATTGGTGACATAAATTATCGGTAGTAGTGTAGGTTTTTTGGTTGGGTCTTGTAGAGAACAAATTCAAACCACCTGAATACTCCCTACAAAGAGGACACTATAGTGTATAATAAAGTCCGACTAAAAGAGATGAGTTTGAGTTGAATTTAGTGGTTAAAGAACGGCTGACATATTTGCGTGCAAAACGTCCGGAAAGTTAAATTAATTTTAAATTTACCGGTGCCGAGGAGTGTGTAGCACTTGTAAACTGCTCTTTTTCATGCTCAGTATCATCT